GCACCCACGGACCGGCCCCAGCACCCACGGACCGGCCCCAGCACCCACGGACCGGCCCCAGCACCCAGCGACCAGCCCCCAGCACCCAGGGACCCGCCCCAGCACCCACGGACCGGCCCCAGCACCCACGGACCGGCCCCAGCACCCAGCGACCAGCCCCAGCACCCACAGACCGGCCCCAAGCACCCAACCGACCGGCCCCAGCACCTACGGACCGGCCCCAAGCACCCAACCGACCGGCCCCAGCACCTACGGACCGGCCCCAAGCACCCAACCGACCGGCCCCAGCACCCACGGACCAGTCCCAGCACCCACGGACCGGCCCCAGCACCCACGGACCGGCCCCAAGCACCCACCGACCGGCCCTAGCACCCACGGACCGGCCCCAGCATCCACGGACCGGCCCCAGCACCCACGGACCGGCCCCAGCACCCAACCGACCTGCCCCAAGCACCTACCGACCGCCCCCAAGCACCCACCGACCGGCCCCAAGCACCCACCTACCGACCCACCCCAAGCGCCAGGCCCTTTTTCGAAAGCCAACGACAAACGGAAAAAAAAAAAAAAGAGAACCCAGAAACCAAACGAAACCGCACTCGCCCAAAAGAAAACCAAACGCCGGACCCACCAGGCCTGCCAGGATTCGAGCGCCCGACCTTCCCAAAGCCAACCACAAAGCCAAAAAAAAAAAAAAGAGAACGCAAAAAACGAAACAAAACCGGACTCGCCCGAGAAAAAACGAACACCGAATCGCAACAGACGCGTCAGGCGCGCCGCTTCAAGCGCGTCAGAATTTTACATCGGACGTCTCACGCTTCACGACTTAGTCACTCGCACGTCAGAATTTTACATCGGACGTCTCCACGGAAAAACACTAACGTGGACCATTGCAGACGCGAGAGTTGCCTCCGCGGCCGAAAAGTTTTAGGAGAGTGGTTTGATTTTTTTACTTTTTTTTTTTGGTAAAGAATTTCGATGTCACCCTGAGGCAAAAGTTGTTCAGTTTATATTTCCGCAGAACATAGTTTTTTTTTTTTTTTTTTTTTTTTTTTTGCTAGGACCTTCCCTGGTCCTTGCACGGCTGGGCTGTTCGGGAAAATAGGGTGACCTGGCGGCCTGGCTTTTTCTGTTTTTTTTTTTGTTAGGACCTTCCCTGGTCCTTGCACGGCCGGGCCGTCCGTGAAAATAGGGTGACCCGGGCGGCCCGGCTGGTAGCCTAGCTCTTCAGGAAGCTTGCTTTGAATCATCTCAGTCCTTACACCAATGTAGAGCGAATAACATCCAATCTCCTAAACCTTAGCAGGAGGTAGCCTCAACATGCTTACCATTCTGTTGTAAGTCTATCAAGAGCGCTTCATGCCTTTCCAGGAGTGATGTTATCAAGAGCTAACTCTTGATAGCCTCTCGCAAGAGTCGCAACAATATATTAAGAATTTAGATGGATCTGCAGGAAGACGCATTACCTCCGTGTATCTGCCCGAGAGTTTGCATTCTCTCAACGACGAAGAAGAAAGGCCTCCGCATATCTTAATCCAGAAGAAGGCCTCTTGTGTAAACAATCAGCGGCATATTGACAAATGACATTATTGTTACGCAGATCATCGGGTCGAGAAGCTTGCCCAGGAGATGTGTTTTATATCTACATCCTCGTTCATTAGAAAAAGCTGCCAGTGTCCTTCTGGACATCCGTTAAAATTGGAACGATACAGAGAAGATAAGCATAAGGATGACAGGCATAAATCAAGAAATGGTCCCAAAAAAAAAGCAAAAAAAAAGAAAAAAAGAAAGAGCAGAATGTCAGACCAAGCTCGCGCAGGTAGTCTGACTGCTTTACTTGTTATCGAAACACAAACTGGAGATGTGTCTGCTTATATTTTTCCTACCAATGGAAGTCGCCTATGACATACATGTACATATGTATATATAATCTAAGATACAATACACAATAACAATTCAATAGACTCGGCACATAATTATTATTTAGTATTGTAGTATTTACTATTTACTTGTCCAATGCCTGTCTCTCCGCAAGGGCTTGCCAAGCAGAATGGATGATGTAAAAACAGCAACTTTCAGCAGTGTGTGAGTTTTTTTAACTTTTTTTTGCATTACTTGTTCTCAAGAAGTAGCAGAAGTTACCCTCCATGCACACGATGGGATCTTTCTCCAGCACCTCCACAGCACCTCCACAGCATATCAACACCAACCCCAGCAAAGAGAAAATTCCACACTGATGTTGACTGTGGCAACCTGTCTACCAAGGGGGACCACATCTGAATAAAAAAGACCGAATCGGAGGGAGAAAAAGAACTCCATTCTTTTGCCATTGCTTTACATCTTTTTTTAAGTTTTTTGAACTTTTTTCTCCTTTTTTCCTTTTCACATCTCCACACCACCTCACGAATCTCTCATCAACAACCAACCAAACCTTCCCAATATCGCTGGTAGCTGATATCTACAGCACTGATAGGTTGTTCGCCAATCAATGATGCAAAACACAAAACCGTATGGGGAGAAAAAAAAAAAAAAAAAATCTTAGCTACAAACGACTTGCACAGGCCAGAATTGGTGAAGCTCAATCCGGAGCATCCTCCATGTGTTACGGACTGCAATGTGTTGGACAAGGGCATTCTAGCGAATAACAATTGCCAACATTTCAGATAACATAACCCTACACAATGTTTCCCCACTATCCACTTCCCCCTTGTCTTCCAGAACAACTCTCTCTCTCTCTCTCTCTCTCTCTCTCTCTCTCTCTCTCTCTCTCTCTCTCTCTCTCTCTCTCTCTCTCTCTCTCTCTCTCTTGCTCCCTGTGAGACACTAACTCACAGTTACTCTTAGTTACTCTATACATATTCAACGTGACGTGACGAGTAGGTACCTTAGGCATGTCCGTTTGGTTCGTCACCCATTTGGCACTACCAGGGATCCCTTCAGCAGAAACGGACAGCTTGAATTTCAAAGAAGACTGCTCCAAGCATCCAGCAGCTTCCTTGTCTGTCATCTCCTTGCGCACATGCATGTCAAAAGTACTGCACCAATAATCAATGAGTTGCAAGGTAAGTCTCAGGCTTGCAAGCATTGCCCAGGTGAAGCAACCGTCATTCGACAAGGTAGTTTCTTCGTACATGTCATTCCCATAATATATGTCCGAAACGTTGCTCAAACGGAGAGTTCTCGAGTTCCGAAGTCCAAATACAAGAGAGCAAACGTGGAACCATCACATCCAAATCCCTTCCTAAAGGAGCGGAATGTGTTTCAGTAGATCCAAAAGGCACCGGGCAAACTCAATTCATGACCGGATTATCGCAAACCAAAACAGGGAATGTTTGTCTTAAGTAGATTTCTGTTCATGAAATGTCCACAACACGATGTGGTACAGGGTGTCAAGATGAATGGGCATTGAGACCATGCATCATTTGTCAGGGGGGGGGAGGTCTTCACCATTCGTTCTATTCGCCACTGCCTAAAATGGGAGGATAGCAGGAAGAGCAAAAACGACAAGGACGAAGAAGAACTCTCTCTCTCTCTCTCTCTCTCTCTCTCTCTCTCTCTCTCTCTCTCTCTCTCTCTCTCTCTCTCTCTCCAGTTGCAGACCAGGTGATGCTCAGCGACAAGATGAATGGGCATTGAGACCATGCATCATTTGTCAGGGGGGTGCAGGTCTTCACCCTTCGTTCTATTCACCACTGCCTAAAATGGGAGAATTGCAGGAAGAAGCTCTCTCTCTCTCTCTCTCTCTCTCTCTCTCTCTCTCTCTCTCTCTCTCTCTCTCTCTCTCTCTCTCTCTCTCTCTCTCTCTCTCTCTCTCTCTCTGGTGCATGCCACCGCTTGCGTTCTTGTGTAGTACGGTGGTGGCTGCAGCGCGGGAAGATCTTTCAGGCAACGCAACACCACACCACACCACAATCTTCGAAGTGGCATGCGAACCTGCGCAGCGTAGGCCAAGAAAAAGGCACAAGACTGCGGTCCACAGTAAACAAAAGGCATCCAAGCCGTGCGCATGCTGCAAAGGCCACGGAATTTCAAGACGTTTCGCGCGTGCCATTCAACGTCCCCAGCGCAACGGTCAGAATCGCTTATTCATGGTCTGGAGTTAGTACCGCAATAGCTTGACCATGGTCTGGAGTTAGTACCCACCTGCTTGAGCTAGTGATTTCTACATATGTAGTAACATGGATGAATCTGACCACAATTAGGCTCAGAGGTCAGTCAAAGAAACTTAAACCACCAGTACCTCTCCCAGCCAAATTCCTGCGACGAATTAATTTACGGCCTCATCTTTTGGGTGCTCGGCCTCCCCGAGCTTCTTGGCTGGCATTCGCAGTGCCAGCCAAAAAGAAAGAAACAGAATGCCTTGCCGGTTCATTTCAGAATTGGCTCGCAGCAGAAATCCACCACCAGGAGAAAGAGGCTCGAAGGTATATCAAGATTTGAATATTTGAGAATGCTTCGGTTCAATTCGACCACCTATGGGTACGCAAGCGTTTGGTTTTCGTCCTGGTAGATGTGTTATACTAACTTATACACCATTTTCCTTTAAGAACTCTTACTCATCTGTTTCTGTTGTTGTTGTTGTTGTTGTTGTTGTTGTTGTTGTTGTTGTTGTTTTTGACTGGTCGGCAGACTGCCGACCGGTCGACCCTACTGGTCGGCTGCAATACGGTCGGGGTCGGCGGTCGGGGTCGGCGGTCGGGGTCGGCGGTCGGGGTCGGCGGTCAGGGTCGGCAGTCAGCAGGGATGCAACACTGCAGTAGAACTTTACAAAAATCCAAAACCAGGTGGTTCAAAACACCAGTACAAGCCCCCTCCTCCGAAACTTTCGGTGGTACGGAGACAGGTCAAAATCGAGGCAGACCACACAGGAGCAACCTTGGAGTACGGCTGACTTACTTGACAACCTTTGCGCGCGACCCGCGTTTTCGTGGAGCTCCATTCTGTGCATGATCACTATTTTCATCACTTTCAGACTGTTCGGAGCGCCCTGCTACACGACGATCTTCATCTTCAGCAACATCTTCTGAGGCACTGGACTCGTTATCCCCAGCTTCCTCTTCCTCATCCTCCTCATCCCCCCCGTCGTCGTCCTCCTTCTCTGCCTCCTCCTCCTCCACCCCCTCCTGTGCTTGCATACACTGGTTATCATCTGATTGGTCTTCTGCAGCTGTGCCAAACGAAGACAATTTGAAGGTGCAAGCCAAAACCAGCAAGCCAATACACACTGTCAAAATACTGCAAACTTTTCAGCTTTCCACTATTCTTTTTATTTTTATTTTTTTTCAGCTTTCCACTTTCACTTTCAAAGCTGTTATAACCTTATTACACCTGTCAAACCACCAGCCCCCCCGACGTCGTAAAGTCTGGGGGACCGGTAGGCCGATATTAGCAATTCACCTTCGGCCTACCGGTAGTACAGGGTGGGCCTCACTCCGTTCTTGTTTTTTGTTTTTTTTTTTTACTCTGCAAAAAGAAAACGAAAACGAAACTGCAGGTACCACCACATTTCGTGCCTCACTTCACTGCCCCTGACACGCATGAAAAACGGAAATGATTGCGGTGTATATTTCCATGTTGTGCTGCAAGGTTCACCGCCTGACTTTTTTTGTTTTATTTCCCACAAAAAGAACAAAAAAAAACAAAAGTGCAGCCCCTCTTTCTAACAACAAGCGCCTGAATTGGAAACCGCGCGCCGACTTTTTCTCAACTTCCAATGCCTTTTTTTTTTCTTTTTTTTTCCCGTTTGTGGTCGCCGACCCCGCGCCGTTCACGGCCCTAACTCCCCGGAAAATCGACTTTAGGCTGCCGCGGGGAGGGGTGGTTTAATAAAGCCTTCAGCTTCCACTATGTTTCATTGAACCATCAGGCACAGAGGTTTTCAGTTTCAGAAAAAGCAACTGAAGTCTTTAATACCAGGGTCAGCGTTGCATACCACGACAGTCAGCACCCCTTGACTGGTCAGCTGCCAACCAGCCGAGCGGTTGGCCGGGCGGCACCTGCCGCCCAGGGGTCGTCAGCACTCCACAATATATATATATATATATATATATAAATATTTCTGGGTCCAGACCCCCAATAACCCCACCGACACCCCCATACACGCCTCCAATAACCCCATA